CCATCAAAATAAAAAAAAAAATAAAGCACACTTGGCAGGAACTTCTTACTCAATTTCAACGACAAATGCCCATGTGGACACACTACAGCAGCACTGTCGCTGAGCATTTGCAGCGTGGTCAGAGAGCTCGACCGCGTTCTGATTTCCGGCTCCACTGGGCCACCTAAGTGCCAGGTTCAGGTTAGGCTGGCCACATAGCAGCACTGCACTGGGCCACCTGAGCACCAGTTTCAGGTTAGGCTGGCCACACAGCCACGCTGTGCCACATTGGTCCACCTGAGTGCCAGTTTCAGGGTAGGCTGGTCACACAGCAGCACTGCACCGGGCCGCTTGAGCACCGGTTTCAGGTTAGGCTGGCCACACAGCCGCGCTGTGCCACATTGGTCCACCTGAGTGCCAGTTTCAGGGTAGGCTGGTCACACAGCCGCGCCAGGGCAAGCCGGCCGGAAGCCCAGGGGTATCCCCCCCAGGCGATATAGCTGCTGCGTCACCCCACTGCCTTCCTCACTCACACTAACCCAGATCAACATCCTGCCTGCAGCAGCCTCAGCAGAGGCTCAGGCCAGTGGGGGAGGGGGAAGGGGCAGAAAAACTGGAAATAAAGAGCCGCAGGCCCAGGGTGGGGTGAAGTTGCCCCCTGTAATGAGGCTCCAACTTCAACACCCAGGCTAAAGATACACGGCTGCACAACAGACATCAACCTATAGCCCTGGGGTTTAAAATAACAAGAGAAGGCGAAGGTAACCCTACGGTGCAGCACTGTTCTTATGACAGGCATAGAGAGGCTCCGCCCACACGGCTGAGATGTGCTGATGTGTGTACGACTGCACAGATGGATGGATTTCACCGTTAAACTCCCCTGGAAAGAAGACGACTAAAGTATCACCGATTCCAGCCCGTCTGTCACTCCAGCCTGAAGAGTCAGCAGTCCAACATGATCTATGCACACATGCCACAGGAAGTCACTCAGAATACGTTCAGCGACTGAGAACGTTACCTTCCTCTGCGGGTTCCTATGTAAACATCAAAGGCAGACGAGATGCCCTCACAGCCTGCTGCAGAAGGCCCACACTGACCAGGCGACTACCAAACCACCACAGTCCTGTGAATCCCTCCGCTGATGTTAACACAGAACTAGGTGAGATGTCTGCTCATGCTTCCATGTGACTGAACTTGGGATGGAGTTTTTGCGGCTGACAGTATGGAGGAAAGGAGCCTCATACACAGCTCAGTCCACCTGGGTGGGGGACAGAGCCGAATGCCGCCTTGCTGTGCTGCGAGGTTAGCATGTATTAGCATGGATTAGCATGTGCCACTTTCAGTCTCCAATTGAGGAGACCCTGGTTTAACTTCAGCATTCAGCAGTCGCATGAAGGCTACCTGTACAGCAGAGGTGGACAAGTCGAGTCAGTGCCTCAAGTTGACTCGAGTCACAAATTTGATAACTTGTGACTTGACTCGGCAAAACCGATGGAAAGACTTGGACACGATTAGGATCCTATGACTTGACATGAGGTTACAGTTCCCCTCTGGATACCATAATGTTAATTTCATAATTTCAGTGTATATTAATTTTCGGCTATCTGCATTTTCAACTGGCTGAAAGCAAGGTCTCCTGAGACAGTGATACATCCTTCCAGCAAACTATCTGCATATACACAGACGTCAAAACCGTGTGAGGATGAGTGGATGTGATCTTATCAACCTCTCTCTGCCTAAAAAAACCTAAATGTTTTTGCTGCAGCAAGTTTTAATCACTAAAGGTAAAAAAACTGACAGTTTGTAACTAGAGTCCCTACCTAACAACCGAACTTGGACTCGAGTGACAAATTTGATAACTTGTGACTTGACTGTAAAAATGATGGAAAAACTTTGACTTGGACTTGAGGGAAAATGACTTGTTCCCATCCCTGCTGTACAGGCCTGTCCAGGCTTTGAAGAGAGCAAAGGCCCGTCATCCCAGCGGATCACATGATGCCACCCATGGCAAAATAACCAAGCGATTTACAGGAAGCATTTGTCTCCTTAAGACACTTCCTACAATGGTAGCACTTCATAAATCCCAGTTATGCAAACAGTGGACACTCCAAGAATAAAATGACAAATCCATGCAGGACCAAAATGAGACAGACGGAAGCAGATCAGCAACACGTGCGCTTCACTGCGAGACTGGCTGCATCGTTCCGCTAATGCCAGCTCGTATTCCTTACTGACAGACAAGTGACAAAGGTACGCCGACCCACTGGCATGTAAAGAAGTATTCAGAAAGAAAAACGCAACACAAAATAGTGCATGATTACTGCAGACCGTGTTCTTTTTGACATCGCTGGTCTAGGGCTTGTGCACGATGTTTCTATACACACACTTCCTGTCAGTGCAGCTTAAACAGACCAGGAGCACACTTACGTTAGCAATCTCTGCACCGAGCACATGTATTTTTAAAAAAAACGCCGTCGTGGATTAACATGTACAGCAAAGCTCATAAACACAGGGCTGGAGCCTCGGCCAGGACACACAACCGTGAAGTCAAATGCATTTACAGTAGCACGCCTACAGCATCTTATGGTTATCATTCCTGCGCCTCTGCTAATACCCTCAGCCACTCTGGACCCCAAGCATGGTAGCATAGCAGATTTCCCCTTAAGCGGACAGAGGGAGGACACCACTGGGGACACATGTACCCAGACTCCTCCAGTAGTGAAGTGACAGTGTTATGAACAACACAACTGCTAAAATGAGCTTGAGGAGTCAGCAGCCTGTATACAGCACACAGTTGGATCCAGAAGATAAGAACAACAGTACTTTACTGTCTGTCAGAGCAGCTAAAGAAACTGGATGGCACAGCCGTGTGAGAGCATGCAGAGATGGGCCAGAGGGGGAGACCAGGGCAGAGAGGTCCACACGGGCCTCTCTTCCACCAGCGTGGTGCGGATGCAGAGTCCGTGCCTAATTGGCAACTGGTTCCGTGCTTTTTCATTACCAATCAACTGGTGCTGTACCTGGAAAACTGGCTCTGGCACAGCAGCAGAGACCTGCCTGTCTGAGGCTGAACTCACGACGGCTACAATGCGCAGAACCATTGAACCATAGCCGCGTTTGCTATTCCTAGAGTTTGATGTTATGTTTGATTTTAGCGTTTGCTGAAAACATGAAGAAATTAGAGTTGAAGAGAACAGGCTACATTCATAGTACAGAGCAAATTATTTATAATAAAAAAATTAAAAAACCTCCAAAACTACAAAACAAAACTCTCAAAAATACACAAATGGAAAAAGTGTTTAAAAGTGCCGCACCGTTCTGTATTCTATTTTTTGGTAGCCAGCTTCCAAAGTGCAGTTGTTTCCTTATGGGTACACAATCGAAAACTGGTGCCAGTTCTCCTGAGTTTATGGTGGAGGTGGTGACATATGTAGGCAAATGGATGAACTGCATCTGATTGAATCCAGGGACTATTATGTCTCACCAATGACCTGTTCATGAATATGCCTAAACGGCGGGTGATGCCCGTCTTCTGGATAGCGGCAAAATCTATGCAGCAAAACAATCAGCAAATAGTTATATTAGTAATGCTTTTTAATGTAACTAGCTATCCATCCATTTTATAAAGAACAATGTTTCAATTAATGCTAACTTATGAACCGGCACTTAAGTTAACATCATCAATTCAATATATTTTTATATAGCAGCCAAAGGCACTTTATATGGGTGTATTATGATACAACAGCCTACATGATACATCAGCTTAAACATTCTCTGTCAAATAACATTATTTAACAAACTTAAAATGTTACATGCCCAAGGTGGTGTGCGTATTCGCTATTTGTTATACATGTTTTTAACCACTGGAAACGTGGGCTGGTTCCCAGGAGTGGGAACCAGCTCCCTGTCTGCACTGTCACAGTAGGTGTGGAAAAGAGGTAAAGGATTCAGCTGCGAGATCCAATCAGGGAATCACACCTCGATTTTATTATTCTGGAAGGACTGCAGAGCTACACGTAGCCTTAATGTTACTGCCGTTTCAACCACAGCATTAAAAACTGTGGGATAATAAAGATACTAAAGTATGCAGCAAACCTAAAGAAAAAAAAATGGATTTTTCTAACCATGAATTAAAAGAAACTAGAATGAACCTTAAACAATTTACTATTAGTATCTCAATATAAATAAAATAATAACCAAACCAGGAAACATGATGACATTTAAACATTAATAAAAATAATGATTCAACTATAGATTTAATAACCCACTCCACGTCTCACTATTAGTTGTAAATTTAAAAAAAAAACAAAATTTAAGGTGAGAGAAAACAATGAGGAGTGAATTATTTGGGATGATAGAAGCAAAAAAAAAAAAAAAACTTTAAAGGATTTAAGATTTTATAATCAAACAGCCAAAGTAACTTGAGGTTTACTCGCTGAAGTGACCGTCACTGAACACCAGCCCCCGTTTACACAGGCATTAATTAACGTCCTCTGCAGTCAGGATCCCAATAAGCATTAAGATGGTTAATATGGCCCCTCTTCGGTAATTCATAAAGCACAACATTTCACTCGTTTTACACAGCAAGGTGTCTCAGGACATTTTAAAAGCTACAGACTGCATGAAAACACTTTTGAGGACCTCAACCTCTCCGAGAGCCAATTGCTGAACCCCAGAAAAAAGCCGTATCTGCACATTCATGTGAGAAATACACCTAAGAGCAGCCTGACAAACATTCGCACAAACCTCAGGAACCTCAACAGCCACAACCATGCAGCCATTTGCTAATTTCAGTATGATCTTCGCTCTGAGAAATAATTTCAACTTCCTTTCATCACAAACCATTTGTTCTATACCGCCACATCATACATAATACTTCCAAAAATGCAGTGTTCAAGAAGAAATGCATAGATTAAAAACCAGCCACTAAATTAAAGCTCTAAGGCAACAGGGCCTGACAACACCTCCATAATGCATAAAGCTAAGCTAAAAATACCTTCTACATGAACTGCAGACCTTACCTGCGTATAGTCAAAGTCAGAAAGGGGCGCTATGCTCTTGATGTAGTCAACTCTGAACTGGTCCTCAGGGTTAGCCAGTGGGACAGGAGGTATTAAAGTGCCCATCGCAGAAACTATCGTCTGGAAATCAGATATAAAAACACAGGCATGAAGATGGAAAAACGTGACAAAGGTCATGCCATGATTACATTACGGTCTAACGGGAGAAATGGGATACCGGGACTGGAGCATGTCGCTGTTTAAATACAAACAAACAAACAACTCACCACTATGGCATCCTTCACATTTTTTCGAATGTCCAGGATTTTTTGTTTCTTTTCTCTGCATGGAAACAGATGTACAGATGAGCTTAAGGGCAAACTGACATAAAAAACCTTCACAGCTTAACAGTAATGCATCTATTCCAGCAATATCACCTCAAACAATGGTACTTGCAACCATTAGAGGGAAAGTAATACGATTTATGAGGCCCGTTTTACCTTTACATGGCCAACCATCACGCGAAATCTTCAATTTGCCATTAAATACACATCCGCACGAACTGCTAGGTAAGACACTGAAATCCCAGTTGCGCATTATACAAGTGAATCGTGTAAATGTCATCGGTAACAAGTCACACGAGTGCGAGATGCGAATCTGTTTAAAGTAAAGGGAAAACGGCGCGTTAGAAATCAGGGGCAGCGAGTCGCCATGCTGGTGCGCGGCTCCGGCCCTAAACGCGCATCTAGCGGCGGCGTGCTGTGCTATGCTGTGCCGGGGGGAAAACACACACACGCACACACAGGAAACACAGCACTGAAAACAAGCGCGGCCGACGGCAGATGTACCTATCGGGCCGGAGTATGCGTGCTTTTTAACAAACAGTAAGACTCACTCCGCATTGAAGCCATTGACGTGAAGGATCCTCATCTGCTTGACGATCGTGCTCTTTCCGGACTCTCCAGCCCCTTGGAAATAAAGCAGAGAGATGAATAATAAGGCCGGCTGCCGTGTGGCAGAGACGTGTGCGCCCACCGTGCGATCGCGACGGACAGCACGGCCATTATCATAAGGGCAAAGCCCGGTGCGGCGACACCCGACCGGCCGGGGCTGTCAGATCCGCCCGAGGCGGGGAGCCGGAGACACCGCCGGGCCACGGAACCCCGTCTCCGGGCTTACCCAGCAACAGCAGCCGGTGTGTGGCTTTGTACGCCTGCCTTTCCTTCTGCAGCTGTTTCTCTATCTTCTTGTTCGCCTCTCGCTGCGCCTTCTCGTCGATGCGCTGGTCTTCGGTCTTGCTGTTACCCAAACAGCCCATCTTCCGTTAGCCTCGGCGAATCGACGGTATTACAATAAAACGGCTCAAAAATAAAAGCCTTGATTTCAATTTAAAACGGGGAAAGAGAAAATATCCGTGCAAAGGAGGGGGAAAAAATGGTGCGACGTTTCCCCGCAGCTTTGAAGAAAATGATCGCTCTTAATAATCCGCCTCGCCTCGCTGCCAAACGGCCCCGGATTCCAATAATCCTAATAAATATGTTTATTATAAATAAAAATAAAAGCGGCCGGCTGACAGAGAAGAGCGGAGCAGAGCAGCTCCTGGACCGCAGCCAGCTGCCGCTCTCCGCTCGCTGTGAGGCTGCCTCTCTCCCCCCGTCTCCGCGCTTCTGTCTCCGTCCCTCTAACTCAGCACTGCCTCTCTCTGCAGCACCAGGAAGTACCGACCCTCAGCCGGGAGGAAAAGCCGCCGCCGTGCCGTGAAACCTGCGCCTGTCGTCAGCGCCGCGCTGGCCCCACTACGCCTAGGAGCCCGAGTAACAGCCCGCGGTCAGCATGTCAGCGGCGCCCGCCCGACTGATCTCGATCACGGCTGCCAAGAAGCCGTCCGCGGGCACCGGTACCGCGTCCGCGGCCGTGATTATTATAGGGCTCGGCCGGACTGCTGCTGAGCAGATATCGATAGATCGCTTCCCGGAAAGTTTACACTGACAGCTACTTAGAAGGACCGATATAGGCCTACATAAAGTACTTTTTATGATTTTCCTCTGAGATCGGTCAAAAACCGCGTCAATAAGTAAGGAAAGTGAAAGGACGGAAAGAGCGCACGACGCCGAACGGCAGGAAAAAGAGAAGCTGTCAGGCTGCTCCTGGCTGAAGAGCGAGGTGCGCCGCACTGCCTGCCCTCCGCCTTCGCACGGAGACTGGCCGCGACCCGTCACCGCCGCCGCGTCTCCATGCACACCGGCCTCCCTCGCCCCTGCGTGCGCGTGCGCGTGGCGTGGGACGCAAGCCCCCCTGCGCAGCGGGCCGCGCGCCGTCCGCAGCCTTACCGGCTTATTAGTGGCGCTAATTCCCAGTTACCGCGCTGATAAGGACGGTAACGACTCGTCGCCTACTGTCGCCATCGCTGCTTTTCCTCAGTTGTCTTTCATTTTGGATGTGGCTCGATGTGTCCCATACCTATGTTACAAGACTACGAACACCAATGTTTTAATATGAGACCAATACAATATATGCCAATTATAAAAATTGAACAACGACAATAGAGAAAACAAAGCTGAAATAATTTAAATGTTACTGGGCAAATTTAACAAAACATAACATTTTGTTTAAATATTTTGCTCATATGCATAGTAGCCTAAGTGATTAAAGTGTAGGGGTCCTAGCAAGGATTTGCAGGGCGCACACAGAGCAGAGCAACAGGCAAGAAATACAAGAGAGACACCAATTAAGCAAGGCTCTGTACGTGAACAATGGGAGGAAACCGAAAGGGAGAAGCTGGAGAGGGCACAGAGCCCTGCAAAGGCAGTCCTTTGGCCTGTCTACACGGTGCGTACGTAAGGCACGCCAAGCTGAGATCTCAGCCGCAGCTACAGGTTAAACAGTCTGCACTTCAGAGGGAACCACCAGCCACTGTGAGACTGGGAAAGTCACCTGCTTGATGCAAATCAGACTAAAAGACAAAGTCCCTTTGTTATACAGATTCTCTGCTTAAAGAGAAATGTCATTTAATCACAAGCACTGTGTCATGGATCACAGTGGCCGGGATATGAAGTCCCATCTTAATTTCAGATGTGCAGTTTACTACTGGAGATTATTATTCAAATTGCACTTTTAGGTTTACTTATCATTGAATTAATGCCAATTCTCCCCCCTTAACATTTGAATATATCCCCACTGAAAGGGTACCACCACACACACACACACACACAGGCCTACATACATGTACACACACATATGTATATACAGTACATACACAGGCCTACATACATGTACACACACATATGTATATACATATACAGTACATACACAGGCCTACATACATGCACACACACATATGTATATACAGTACATACACAGAGGCCTACATACATGTATACACACATATGTATATACAGTACATACACACACAAGCCTACATGCATGCACACACATATGTATATACAGTACATACACACACAGGTCTACATACATGTACATGTACATACACATATGTATATACAGTACATACACACAGGCCTACATACATGTACACACACATATGTATATACAGTACATACACGCACAGGCCTACATACACGTACACACACATACAGGCCTACATATATGTACACACATGTATATACGGTACATAAACACAGACCTACATACATGTACACACACATATATGTACACCACCGGTCAAAAGCTTTACAACATCGATTTTTCCAGTTTTTCACTGAAATTCAACCAGCTCATGTCCAATGAATAGCTTGAAATGGTAAAAAGGTAAGTGGTGAACTGCTAGAGAAAAGTTTTTTTTTTAAAAAAAAGGTAAAGTTACCCAAATCTGGGAAATAATGTACATTTCAGAATATTTCCCAAATCTGGGAAATAATGTACATTTCAGAATATTTCCCAGATCTGGGAAATAATGTACATTTCAGAATTATACAAAAAGGCCTTTTAAGGGAACAAAAAATGGGGTAACAACTTAAAGCTGTTCTGCAGCAATCGGGGTTTATCAAGCCTCGAGAGTCGGTGCTCCCAGTGCCTACAGGTGTCCCAAGGTGGCCCTGGTTACTTACAGCCCCCTCTGTCTGCATGTAAGTAGTGTTGGAACTAACTGTGGTACCATACCCTCGTGAGCATTATCTGAACAGTACTGTACTGGCGCGAAAAAGTAAATTAACAATGGAAGAGAGACAGACCATCATAACACTGAAAAGTGTAGGCCTGTCCTAGAGAGGAAACGCGAAGAAAGTCAGGGTGTACAATCTCCTTCACCATCAAAAGGCACTCAGAAACTGGGGGGAATTCCGACAGGAAGAGGTCTGCCAGACCCAAAGCCACAACAGCATCAGGAGACATGTTCCTGAGAGTCAACAGCTTGCGTGACAGGTGGCTCACAGGACCACAGCTTCAAGCACAGCTTAGTAGTGGTCGGAGTAAGCAAATCTCAGTTTCAACTGTAGAGAGAAGACTTCGCGTTGCAGGTTTGACAGGTCGAGTTGCAGCATGAAAGCCGTTGCTAAGACATCAGAATAGGAGAGAGGCTTGGCTGGGCTATGAAACACCGCCAATGGACTACTGAAGACAGGAAGAAGGTGTTATGGACTGATGAATCAAAATTTGAGATCTTCAGTTCATCACGCAGGATTTTTGTATGCCGTGGAGTAGGCAAAAGGATGGTTCTTCAGTGTGGGACATCAACTGTCAAACATGGAGGAGGAAGCGTGATGGTCTGGGGCTGTTTTACTGGATCCAGGGTCGGTGACTTGTACAGAGTGAGAGGCACCCTGAACTAAAACAGCATTCTGCAGCGCCATGCAATACCCTCTGGTAAACGCCTATTTGTTCAGGGGTTCATCCTACAGCAAGATAATGACCCAAAACAGAAGTCCAATTTACGCCAGAACTACTTCAGGAAAAAAGAACAAGATGGTAAGCTGGTTACATGGAGCGACCTGCAGAGTCTCCAGGCCCCATCGAGCAGGTTTGGGATGAACTGGACAGACGAGTGAAAGCAAAGCAACCTACAAGTGCCACACATTCATGGGAACTTCTGCAGCACAGTGGGGAAGAACTTTCTGAAGATTATTTGATTTCCATTGTCGAAAGAATGACACAAGTGTGTTCAGCTGTTATATCCGCCAAAGGTGGCTACTTTGATTAGTCATAAGTTTAGAATACGTTTTGGCTTAACTTTGTTTATTTGTTCTATGTTTTCATTTCAGAGTACAATGAGATGTAGTGTTTGTACAGTGTGTGTATATATATATATATATATATATATACACACACACAGACACACACACACACACACAAGTCTACATACATGTATATACAGTACATACACAAACAGGCCTACATACATGTATACACACATATATGTATGTACAGTACATACACATTCAGAGGCCTGTATACATGTATATGCACATATATGTATATACAGGAATGGACATGAATGCGTACTTCCGTACCAGTTATCTTGAAAAACGATATGTGCAACAATCGATTGTGGTAACAATGTAAATGCGTACTCCGCTCCTATAGAAACACTGCCAAGCAAACCAGTCACATCTCTTGTGGTCTGTGTATATAGATACATTTCAGGGGAGGTGCACGACAGACTCGTAGGGTTCACGCCTACGTGGTATTTACGGTGTCCTTTTGACGCAGAAGTATAAGTCAAGGTTTTGTTCCTCTGTAAAGACCTTTCAAGCTGAGAATTGAGAATCCTGATACAAATAATTGAGTTCAAAACTCAGGTTTCAAATAAGGTAAATAAATACATAAAATGGAAACTACTTGTAGTGATCATGGTTATATAATGATCAACTGCGAATATGGATCAAAAAGCTTGGGACAGAATCATTCCTATACAAATACTGTTTAAATAATTCACTTATTCACGCCCTCATTAGCGGGGGGAAGCGTCACTGATCTGACAATGCCCCATTCACTCATGGGGGGGGAGGGACCCACGTTAGCAGATATTTTGCTCTAACCCGACGTACGGCCCTTATGAAGATTCAATTTCATGTGAATCCTTAAGTCCCTTAGCTGCTCTCTGCTAGCTCACATGGCTGAGTTAACTTTACATTCAGTGTCTGCTATAGTTTCACATTTTCTCGAAATTCAGTGGCTTTTTATAGAGAATAAAATGAAGGCACTATCATACTTTTCAGCTCTGTTGTCTGGGTAAAACTAGGAATGCTGCAAACTTTGCAGAAAGTTGTTACTCAGTTTAAACTCAGTTACTCAGTCTCTGAGACAATCATAATCACCTTCGTCCTTGCTGTTAGACTCAGTCATAGACCGTGTGGTGCGTTTATGAGAAATTAAACAAAAAAATGAGTGAAGAGAAAAGCGAACAAGAACTGGTCATCATTCGTCTTTAGCTGTATGGAAATATTTTGTATCCCAGTGAGACAATATTGTGCAAAAGCAAGTAACACCGTTTTGTGTCCGTGGGCACAGAGGCGACATCACCAGCTTACTCGACAGACTCTGCTGATAGATAAGTTCTATTTCGCTAAATAGTCCATTTTCAACTCCTAAATATCACAATGTAAACTTTTTAAAATACTGTTCAGCTGTAACAAATAATACATTCACAAAAAAAAATAAACATTAAATGGTTATTATGTACCGTATTATGTTAGATGATGTGGCTACACGGCGAGCTAACTTTCATTTTAGCAGTGATTATTTTGACATGCAGGAATCATAGAAAGCAAATGAAGCAAAATAATTTAAGTGAGAATGATGCCAGAGCCAGGCTAGGCTACTCGGCGAGGCTAAATGCCACATATCTACATATCTACGGCTGACCTGGCTTACGAGTCCGTCAAACCTGAACGTCTTCTTTTAACATGTATTTGCATTACAGTCGTGCTGAGGTGATATTTAAGTTCTAATTTGCGATCCTGAAAGACTACTGCGTTTCCATTCACTTTTAATGTGAAGTGCGTCTACACAAATGATGGTTTTTTTTGCTCTTTATCTGGAACCTGATCCTCTATATTGCCGAGTAATCGAGAAGGAAAATTTTAATCGATGGTTTTTAATAATCGAGTAATCGTGACAGCTCTATATACACATTTATTTCATTGCATGATATATGGGTTAACATATCTGTATCAGCCAGTATTATTAAAAAATCTAGATATCAGATCAGTTTAATCTGTACATCTTGCCCAGCATTTCAACTTTATCAATAGTCATCAGCTCAGTAGGCCCTGCACATCCCAGAAACATCAGCTGGATACTAACCAACTC